TCCTACCAGAATTTTCTTTTTGAATAATTTTGTTTGGATGAGCAAGTAGAATATCATTATCTTGATTCCAACACCATCTCCTTAGGAAGGTATAGGTGAATAGATTTTGTGCTGAGTCTCATAAATTCTCTGACAGTTTTGCAAGGCTGTGTGTAAATTCTAAGCTACAGAATGAAGGAGAAGACAGGAAAGCAATACGTGCCGTGACTGGATTCCTTATGCCACGGTACACTTTTAAGAATTAAGTATGAATATTATGCATACAGTCAGTTTTAGAAGTGGGTGTTGGATTTTTAGGTATTTGGTTAAAAACAAGATAAAAAAATTAGAGGAATTAAGTACATTGGGAAATTGTGAGAATAAGATGGACTCTACCTCACTAACTGTTTAGAATTTTACCATGCCTGAGAGTGTTAGCAATCCTAGTCTAATTCAGTGCTATTCACAGTTGAACTTCATGCCATTGATCACGGAAGTGTACTGATTGAATATTGTCCTTAAGTATCTGTGAAAACAAAGAAAACTACTTCTTACATGGTGACTATAATTGGCAATGTGCAGAGCCAGAATCACTGGATCGAGTTATTTTATGAATTTTGTGAATGGGACTGTGGAACACGATTGCTGTTACTGTTCGTTAGTTCAGAAGAAAAGTGAGTAGGTAAGTTGCTAAATCCAGTGTTCTCCTCCCAGTCTAGCTCATAAGTCTTCTGTGTAGGCAGCTGTTCTTATAGGGGGGAAAAATGTAGTTAACTCTCTGTTTCAGATCGGAAGCACTTATTGCAAATTTAATGCAAGATGACTTTGTACCGGTTGAAAACTGTAGGATTATCTCTTCTTAGACTTACAGGGTTAAATTGTGAAAAATATAGTAATATGCAAGGATATTGTAAAAATTAACACTTAATTGAAGGTCTATTAGAGTAAGGCTGGCCAAAGGAATTAATAGCCAATAGAGAGTCCATTTTCATATGATCATCATTCTGTTACCATGCAAGGTTCTTTCTCAAATCGATAAATTACCTTTTAATACAGTCTGCAGTTCAAGATACAAGAAAGGACTGCAGGACTAGATTACCAAAATGGAATGTTAGGAATTAGTAAAGCAGGTGTTTTTATAATGTAAATAATTATAGACCATTTTTACCTCATTTAGAAATATGCAGTAGTTAACTCCAATTATCAAAATAATTCAATTTTTAACTACTGTATCTTTCCAATTTAGAGAGAAGGATGTTGTGGGGGACCATGTCAGAGGCTTACAGAAGTCCAGATAGACGACATCAGTAGCTCTTCCCTTGTCCACTGATGTAGTCACTCCATCATAGAAGGCCATTAGGTTGGTTAGGCAAGATTTGCCCTTGGTGAAGCTTTAGTTAGTTGAGTTGCTTTGTTTGGCCATACCAGCAAATTCTCAGAGTCAGCAGCATTTCTTTTGCTGCTGTAGTCCTTGTGCAGTCAGCAACCAGGAGACACTGACTTATATGCATAAGTTTAACACATAGGCACAAGGTTTCTATGTTTTTGTCCTTTGGTTGTGTATGTGTAAGCTCACACATGCTTATTACAGTTCACTTTGAACTATCAAAATTAAAACACAAGTAATATGAAATACTTTCAAATTCCTAAGTTTCACTAAATGATTCTATGCTACATTCAATGGCTCCCTCAAAATAATATACTTTATTGCATACAATGCACATACACATAAATAATAGATCACAGTGTGATTTATATTTATAATTGCTTTCATATAGTCCCCAAATGTAACATTTAGTCTAGAGAATGCATATATTATCTGTTGCTGGAAACATACATATAATAATCCTGGCTTCATTTAAGTCAAAAGCAATTCTTCTGTTGATACTGGGGAGAGGGGTAGCGTTTTGCCCATAGATTTTAGCATTTTGGATACAGGAGGCTCAACCACTGGTTATACGCTTGCTTAGTCTATGACTATTCAATATAATTTTTCTCCGCTAATTTAGGACTCTGTGGTACATTTCTAGTGGGCACCAGCTTTACCTCATAAACAGCATTAAAGTTTATGGAATGAGTTACTGTCTCTAACTTCAAACCCCTTAGTGTAAGGAAACCAGAATAAATGGACAAGCAGTTGATATCCTCCTGGCTTTCCACTGTTCTTCTAAAAACTTGGACAGAGAGCTGCGTTTTGAACAGTTACTGATGATCCAAACTCAATCATTTCTTACAGAATATATAATAAAACACCAGTGCCTAAGTTAGGTGAATAAGTAAACTCCCTCAGTAGCATTTCCTTCAGATTTTCTGAGAAGTGTATAGCTGTTTCTCTAAGGTAACTTTTCTGAATGAAATACCATTGTGAGTGGCCCAGCAATAATTTTAAACATGACTCTGAGAAGCACCTATATTGCAGCTTGCTCTATCAAGCAATAAGGGTCCTATCTTTCTCCAAGGAAGTGTGAGACAGGTCTCTCACTATTTCCCCTCTACTCTCTCATCTCTCCCTCCCTCCTTCCCCTCTTCTCTCTCATCTCTACTAATACTCCTGTGAAAATACCACCGTCCTGATCAAGGCACAAAGCCTGTACTTTTGGATGTATCTTTGAGCCTTCAACTTTTGAAGTACGTCTTCAGGTCACATCCAATCCTTGTGATTCATATTTTGGAATCTCTCAAAGACCTGGCCTTAAATTTCCGTCCACACAACTAAATCTCTTGCTCAAGCCTTAGTTATTTTGCAGCTTGAGTAGTTCTTACCTTTGCTAGGTCAGAGCTACCCAGCTGCACTCACGTTGTACTCATGGCGATTCCAGACACAGTGACTATCCCACTCCTGCATGCTCCCCTCTCTACTCTTCCCACGTCCTTGCTGTTTCTCAGCGCCCCATACAGCAAACGTGAGTTTTTTTCCCGTTGGCATATGAAGCCGTTTATATTTTAGCTTTGATTGGTCTTTTGACTCTACTGATTGGCCTTTTGGCTCTGCTGTTTATCAGATGTTCATTCGTGTTTGTCATATCCAGCTAATAGTAGACTGGGAGTTAATTCATTTTAAGCGTTGAGAATCTCGAACGCCTTGTTCTTCCAGTTCCTCCTCAAAAGTCATGCCCCTCGTTTCCTCTGTTAGACAGCATCGTATGTGTATCCGGCATTAATTCTAGCTTGTGTGTGAGTATGTGTTGTGTGTACGCAGCTACACACACCACTTACCTGATCCTGACTTTTACCCCTAAACACCTGAACGACACACATAATACTAACAAAATATATAGTATTGAGTGCACGCAGGTTATGTATGCAAGTGTGCATGCAGGCAGGTATTTACACAAAGGAGGAAGCATTTAGTATTTCTCAGCAGATAGAGTTCAAGCTGTAGGGGAGAGAGAGATGATTATGATGATGAAGTCTTATGATGATGATTAAATTTTATGATTAAAGCACTGCCAGATCTCTCACTGTCTGCCTAGCTCTCGCATGGGTGTCTGGAAGAGAGCACGTTCTTAACTCAGAAGGTTGTTCTGAGGGTAAGTTGTTCAGATACTGCTGAGATGGAGGTTACAGAAACAAGTAATGAAGAGTAATTTTAAACAACAGCGTGATCCTTCCCTCAAAAGATAATATGGGTTCCTGCACATGGAACCCGAATAGAAATGGTCTGAGTAACATGGTTAAAACCAGAAAGTATTAGATACCAGATGTCCCTGGTACCAACTACACTGGCGTTCTGAAAGGCATATGGAGCAGATTTTCAGGAGAGCGGTAGTCTTTCTCTGGTGTCTTCACCTCGTTGTTTGTTCTGCTTTTTTTGGTGGTCTGTTGAGAAGCATCCTAGTTTCAGAGTAAAGGACGTTTTCTGTGAAATGACATAGGCGTGATGGTACCAACAGCTTGTAGCTACTCCACGTGCAGCTGCTGCGAGGGGGGAGAGTTAAGTGGCATCTGCTGCATGCCGGGTGGAGAGTGAGAGAAGAAGGGTCAGAGAGAGAGAAAGCAAGCACATGTACCCATCCATGCCTGTGAGCAGGGGGAAAGGCAAAGTGCTAAGCCACAGACTTAGAAAGTAAGAACTAGAGAACTGAAGAGCCGTTTCCTATTTTACAAGTAGACACCTCATGGGATTTTATCCCTGGCTAAAACCTATTTATATTTTTTGATATTTTTGCCAGGCTGAAAAACCCCATGTTCCCCATCCATTGTACGCCAGGCTGTGATGCAAAGAGGTGCAGACTGAATGTCTGTGCGCTTTCATATATATTCTGTTTTCCTTTCTGCTGTAACCTGTGGCCTCAGCCCACTCAGCTGTGTTACGGAGTGGTTTCATCTCTGTGTAGAACAGCGATTTTTTTTTTCAGGGCCTATAAACAGAAATAAAACTACTGCTGACTTTAGGCTTGGCTTTGTGGATGGTCTTATTTAGAGAATCAAAATTCCCAGTAGAATGCAGCTCTCGGGCCAGATGCTGTAAGGTGAATTAATGTACAAAGGTGGACTGAAATTGGGGGAGGGAGAGAAGGACTAAAGTTTAGGGTGCCGGCTGCAGCTTGGAAAAGAGAGTTTAATTTACTGTTTGTGAGTTACATAATCTCACTAGTCCATGTTAAATATTCCATATTTAATATCTGAAAAAATAACAGCAAAGGAAGTAATGGTGATTCAGTTGATAGATTGTCTCTTTAAAAACATACTTCTGCTTTGTAATGCAGTAACTGGTTTGAAAATCCAGATACATATGCACCACTTCTGTACACATGGAATTACGTATATGTATGTACCTGTATACACACATCTGTAGTCATATATTTGGTGTTGCAAACGTGTATGGCATACAGATTGAAACTTACAGTGTATCTAAGTGCATCTAGATACATATGTGTGGGTGTATAAACACACGATACATGTATCTATATTTTGGCTGCTGTATTAACACACACACATATTTGAAAATGATCACCAATGATGATTTTCATGTCTCTGGTGCTTACATGTTTAAGCAACTTCTTTTTTGATTCGTTTAGCAGCAGCAACAGAAGAACCCGAGGTGATTCCAGATCCGGCTAAACAAACAGATCGAGTGGTGAAAATAGCAGGAATAAGTGCTGGCATTCTGGTATTCATCCTGCTTCTCCTTGTTGTCATATTGATCGTCAAAAAAAGGTAAGAAAATGATCTGTGCTGATCCCTCTTTTTTTTTTCCTCCGTTTTGAACAACAGTAACTAAATGGGTATTTTTTACAGGTCATTTAAAAAAAAAAAAGTTTCAGGACCAGTAGCTCACATCAGCTTTTGGATGAGTTTTGTGTTTCCTGTTGTTTTTGCTGTGATTCTTATGACGGATTTAAAGAAAGGATTACTTTATATTTGGGATCCAATAGCTATACATTTTCTCATACTTACTTATTTCCAAGTGGTTTTAAGTTGCAGTTAATGTACAGAATATTAAAATGGGTGGAAATGAAATTCACAGAGCCTTTTTTTTTTTAAGCAAAAAAAAAAGAATAACTTACTGCACTTTTCATGTTGTAATCACCTAATTAATTTGATTTTCTATATGCAGCTCTAATGAGTTATTTGTATCTGTATGTTATCCAACTTGCAAAATAATGTGATTTTATACCTCTATTTATGCTCCCGTAAACCTGGAGTTTTTTCTTAAAAGTTGTACCACATCACTGTAAAATTATCTAGTGAGTCCTTAGTGCATGAAATTGTTTAAAACTGTATTAATTTGAATGAATTTTAATTTTGTTAGTGCTTTCTTAGTAAGCAATATCGCCATCTTCTGGCATTGTACAATGCTAACTCCACATCCAAAAGCTCCTACCTATAGTAAATTGTGCTACCCTATTGCTCGGTCAGTTTTTAAAAGTCTCGATTTCCCAGCGGTTGCAACTCTTTTAACCTGGCATAAAAGTTCATAATACGGCTCTATAAATTCGTAGTTATAGCATCGAAACCAATTTCTCTCTTTCTGTGCACCCCCTCCTTGGCGGGTCCCCTTTGCAGGGCACAAGCTGATTTCTCTTGGGTAGAACGAGACCTTTGTCTTCCAGTGGTGTGTGTATTGCATTCCCTTGCCTTTTGCAGAAGTCTTAATGGAAGGTATATTTGTAAATGTTGCGATGTTCCTCTGAAATACAGCTTGCTATTATTTTAAAGATTAAGAAAAAAAATTAAAATTGTACCTGAGATCATTCTATATGTTATAACTACTGGTTTGCATTAGATTTTTTTAATTTATTGCCTCTTTACAATTATCCCTGGAGATATATAACTTGGAGAAGAAACGTCTGCATTAGAAACATTAGGTATGCTTATAGTGTTCTGTGTTAGTTAGCTACATATGTGATTTTTCCCAAAAGTGCTTTTACTTTTCTCTGTTGTTTACCTCTGTGGTTGAGAATTAACACATATGCAAAAGGTCCAACTCATCATATGCAAAAAAGACATACAGTCAGCCAATTTTCTTTATTTACACAACTTTTGAAAAACAAAAAAAAGTTGTTTTTTCAGCTTTCAGGAAGAAATCTCTATGTTATAGCTTGCTTGCAAGGTATGTGCTGGGGAGTATCATCTTCTCAGTGCGTGTTGCAGTGGTCCCCTTTATTTAATAGAAGACTCTGTGTGTGTGCACGTGTGTGTGTGTGAGAGAGAGACTGCATACCGCTATATAATGTCAGTCACTTCCAGATGGGATTGACTAGTTTTGCAGGTAACAAAAAAAAATCTTAAAATTCGATGTGTTCGTTTTTCCTATCCTTTTTACCTCTTGCATACGAGTCCTTTTAGACTCGTACTTTCACTGTTGAATTGTTTGATGAAAGTAAGTTAATTATGTCCGTGAAATGATATTTTAAAATTTCCCCTTTTTCCCCCTTCCCTTCTCTGAACCTGTGAAGGCAGTACCCTCTTAGGAATGATACTTGATCATCATTCTAAAGCACATAACATTTCTAAACCGCTGTACTATTTTGTATTCAAAATAGGTGAGAAATTAACCTCTTTAATGAATCTTTAATGTTTGGCAATTTTTCATCATGATAGTTTAATTGGTTGTCTATCGCGTATGTTATAGGTGTGCCATTCCGTCCCCCCCACCCCCCGCTTAGGGAAAGTGGGCAGGTTTTTTTTAATACTAGCTTTAGTCAAGGTCTCTTACAAAAAGCATAGAAAACCTTTGTATACCTGAGTTAATTCAGTCCATTAGTGGATCAGGGCGATTCATATAATGAAGCCAGGAACAGCTGTAAAAACCCTGACACATTCACACGTACATAAACACACGTCACTTAGTTGTGGTGGGACTGAAAACCGATCCGTTTGAATCATCTTCTGTAGTGCACATATTCAGTGATCCATTATGTAGTATCCCTTTTGGTACCTGAATTGACCACAGCTTATTACACAGAAAAGTCAACAAAAAAATGGTTTCTGCATTTTCATTGGTTTATTAAGTTGTATGCACGGCCATCGCTATCTCAATCTGATTAAATGCAGCATTACATTTTATTGAAAAACGGAGTGCTAAGCAGTTTCGTCCACGAGCTTGAGATGTTTTAGGCTTTGCCTGATCATTTTGTACAAATTGGGTTGAAGTTTTCCCGAATGAAGCTCTTAACAGCTCTTACAGTTTTACTGGAGTAATCAAACCAGCTAAGAAAAGGGATACTGCATCTTTAACAAGCAACGCCATTTTTATTTTCTAAGTCATTGTTGGACTATTTCCAAATGTCCTTCATTTCCTTCCATTTGTTTACCTTCCATATTTTTAATGCTTAGCATGACTACATCAGCATTTCCAGTTGTAAGATTTTAAAATAGAAAACATATGTTTGCATTCAGGAAATGTGTGGTATATATGTCAGTACACACCTATCTGTCGTAAACGTGTATTCTTTAAAATGTGTGTACTCATATAGCTACATATAGTACGCATACAAACATATATGTATACACCTGTGTACCAATAAAGATGTTAAAATGAATGACATGAAATTTGCTTTCTGATTAAATGTATTAATGCAATCTTTAGTTTTTGTCACTGAAAAGTAAAAAGCATATTTACTGCACAAGATTTGTACACAGCTGTTCATTTGTCATGACATCTAGGTGGTAATCATTATATTATGCTGAACTGCATGTTAAAAATACACAATCCATTTAATTTTCAAATTTTTTGGCAATAAATGAAATCTCAGCATGTAATTTTCTCAAGTGATCTTTCTAAAAAACAAATCATTTTTATATGCTAGTGTATTTTTTTTTTTAGTTGCATGGCAAAGTAAGGCTAGTTTGTGCATGAGCAAGTTGAAATGCTAACTAAAGAAACATGAATTTTTCAATTTTTTTTTTAAACGCACATTTCTCTGCTTTATTGAATGTGACAGAGTCACGCTTTTCATTCACCATTGCTTCTCTTTTTCCACTGTCTGTGATTTGCTTGCCAGGAGGAGCTACTATTCTTACTCCTACTATCTGTAAGTAGAATACGGGTGACTTACTATTTTACATGTTTTAAAGATGCAGTATCCCTTTTTAAAAAAGAAAAACAGTCTCTATAATTTTCCTAAAGTTTTATTGATGGTTACCTTTCTTTATTCTTAGGCTTGAAAAATTGCTTGTATCGTTGTTCCTGTTGTTCTTACCCTGTTTTTTTTAAAGGGATATTGTATTTCTAACTGTATATTGAGACTTTTGCTTTTTGCTACAGTTTTCCCATAACTATCATTTTGGTTTATTGTAATCATAATTTAATTTGCATTATGATTCACAGCGACACATCACACTAAGGAAAAAACCTCTTTCCCCATTTCCTAGCTAGAGAACTGTGCTTGTAAATCACAAATTGTTCTTTCTTAGCGTATCAGTTCAGGAGTGATCCTGTGCACCGCTTTTCCTACGCAGATCACAGGCGGATGCCAGACCCTTATAAACAGGTCTGTGCCCTACCAGTGGCAGAGCAACACGCCTGCCTTTGTGGGACCAACCTGGTTTGGTTTGGGTTTTTTTATAGAAATATTTTTTGTGAAGCGGTCTGCATCTGTTGCTTGTAAGGTGCTTTGCATACACATTCTAAAGCGTGGATCTTACTTTATGACACTGGTTTGCATAAAGTTCTGCTTCATTGAAGCAAAATTGACTTTTTTTCTACGTGTTGACCAAATGAGTGTTTGTGAGGGCTGCAGCAGTTTTGGCTGTGATTGAGCAAAGCAGTTACACACATTCTTAATTTTAAATAAATGCATAAAGCCCTTGACTTCAGAGGGGATCTAAGAATGCACTGAAGTGCTTTGATGAACCAGTCGTGTCTGATAATGATGCTCTTCCACGTTTTTAAGCAGATTAGTTGACTTCTTTAAACAAACTTAAAAATAAAAAAAAAAGCTAAGCTGGCTTAGCTAACTGCCATTCTCTGGTTTATTGTGACAAATTATAATTTCCTTGTTAAATAACAATTGCTTCAGCTCGAGATAATTAACTGCACAGTTTCATCCTATGATGGAGCACTTTTCCCCTCCAGCTCCCACTGAAACACCCACCTGCCAGGTTCACCCAACTGGATCCTTTAGCAGATAATGAGAATCATTTACACTTTCTGTCAGCCTCAAGTACTTTAACCTAAGGATTTGCTTAACTCTCCTGAAGCATAGATTGCGTGTGCCTTTAGCCTAGTGAGGGAAGGGGAAAAGGAAAGGAAAAAGAAGTCGTCAAACCCCGAGGGAGCCAGGAGCTGTTGAACAATAAAGCAGTCCTCCCATTTCCCAGCAGCTTTGGGTTGCAGCGCTGCAACACAGTGGGCCTTTTTAGGAGTTGAAGCAGAGCATAAGAATTAGAAAGTAGCTACTGTAATAAGCTAATAACTTGAAAGCCTTAATAGCTGTTGATTTATTTAGCGTAGCTAGCAAGTTTTGTTATAAAGTGATGCTTCAAAGAAGGGCTTAATATAGTTGAGAGATGAGATGTAGTAGTTTTTGTTCCATTTCTGAGGTGGTGTTAGGAAAAGGCAATCTTCAGTGTGTAGAGACTATCTGAAAGGCTTTGAAACTTAAAAAACCAGTCTGAACTAGAAATGCCAGTTTTGTGTAAGCTTTGATAGCATTGGGAACCAGTTGTAAAGCTTCTGGAAGTTCACCAGTTTCACTTCTGGAAGTTCTGATCGTCTTCATTTGTTCGACCAGAGTATCATTTAAACCAACTTTTCTTAAGTAAATAGGAATGTGTGGAGTAAATGTATAAAATAAAGCATTTTAGGGGGGACATCCAACTGTCACTGGTTTTTTTTTAGTTTTCACTGAACAACTGATACACACAGAACCCTCATGTACACCACAAGGGTCTGATGAAAAAATAATAGGTTCAGAGACCACGCTTGGGATTTTTGTAGCGGGGGGTTATTGAGTAGCAATTCTCCAACTAGTAAAAGAAACGGGGGGGACACACACAAAATAACGAGATGAGTCTGATTGGTGAAAGAATCTGTTATTCTCAGGAGTGCTTTGTCCATCTATATCCTACTTTGTGGCCCCTTATTGTGCATCAAGACTATTAACTTAAGAAACAATCCTCTAACATTTTCTTAAATATGCAAAAACATGAAGTGCTCCCTGCCCTAGAGAGTGGTGTAGGTTCTCTCTGGTGGTTGTTCCCAGGACTTAACAAGTAAATTGATGGATAATTTACACTAATATTCTTTTTGTCTACTGTTAGAGTGCGGCACAGAATATTAAAAGTTATCAGAGAATAGAGGAAGAGCAAGCAGTCCTTTTAGTCAGAGAAATGTAAGATAAACACTGTCTAAACAGTTAACAGGATATTTGATGATATTTTATGCAGAAAAAGCTTGTGAAGCTAAGCTGTGTTTTAAACATACATTTTCAAGAACCCAATCTTTTCAGTGATGATTGTGTCTCTCCCACGTGGTGTCAGATTTATCCAAATAGGCAGGTTGGCTATCTATTATATTGCAGTCACAGCTTCAGATGAAAACGGGGAGATTTCAGAGCAGTTTAAAGTACGTCACGGGTTCCTGCAGAACCAAGGAGCATTTCATGCTGCTCTGCATTCTTCCTACTACTTGAGATATATGCTTTAAGAGGAGTAGGCTTTAAGTGATAATTAAAATATATGGTCTGCTTCCATCTGACTTCTGGAAACAGTGAAAATCACTTCCAGTTCTTCATCAAAAGGAAAGAATTAAGAGATATTTCTGAAGCGTGCACTTTAAGGGCATTGGTTGTTAATTTGGGGAGTTTGGTTGTACAGATTAGGTTGCTGTTTAACTGTGATACATTCAGAGTGTAAGAAAGACTGTTAATGTCAAAATTTAAGATGTTCCCAAACTGCATGAAAGGGTAGAGCAGTGAGGAGGGTTTTGTTTGTTTTTTAAAGAACCAAAGTTCAGTGTCAGGCACAAAGTGTGGTATCATGTTGTATCATGTGTACTGAATGGAAAGAACGACTTTTAACATAAAAGGTAATATGAATCCATATCGAATAATTACGTTTCTTTTGTTATTTCATCGGGTTTTTGACTAACAAAGTAATTTAGAAGGTTAAATGATTTCTTCCTAACAAGGCAAGCAAGGGGAATGAATTATCCATTTATAAAATCAAAACACAGATTTAAATGGAGATGGTTGATAAAACTGCATGCACAGATGCTTCTTATTTATCGTTTCAGTTAAAATGTAATTATATTTTCTAATTTGTTTATATTAGTGTAATTACTCTGCAGGAAAAAAAATATTACCAGGGTACAGAAGTTAGCACTTCCATTACAGCATTTGTGTGTGCACAGAAAACACAGGGTCGTGACTCTTTCATAGCCAGGTGCATAGTTTTATCAATTTCACGCTGGAAAAGTTGTACACAGGAAGATCAGCCAAACTTTTCGGTCACTCAGGATTATAGATAATGATTACTGTAGACATCAATGTTCATCAAATATTAAGGTGGTTTGGGTTGTTTTTTTTGGCTGGGCAGCAAACTTGCGAAGAAGCGCAAGGATGCCATGGGGACCACCCGCCAGGAGATGACACACATGGTGAATGCGATGGATAGGAGTTACGCTGACCAGAGCACCCTGCATGCAGAGGATCCCCTTTCAATCACATTTATGGACTCTCATAACTTCAGCCCCAGATGTAAGTATGACAGTGATAGATACTCTGGAGTGTAGGTGAATGTAGAAACACGTAAAACAATTCTACTTTTTAAGGAAAATTTTTGTAAGCTCCAGGTTTTCTAGGAACACTGGTAAACCCAAAGGTTGAGTAGAGATGTTCATACATTATCCTTATTGGTATGTGGCCAGTTATTTAAATATTTACATGTACTTTCAGTATGCATTGTCACTTGTTCTGAGGAAAATATTACAATTCTAGAATATCTCAATTAAAATCTGAAATTGAGTTTTCCCTCATGAGGATATTTAATACCAACACGTTAAATATTACTGCGTAACACCATGTCTGTAATGAATAATAATATGATGTCCAAATTAATTTCTTTCTTTTGGCAGTAAGGACATTATAACAGAAGGAAACATTGACAATTTTTGTTGCTGTGTGGAGTTTAGGAAAAAGCTTGTTAGTATATCTGCAAATTTGCTCTATATTTGTATTCCTTTTTTGTAGACTTGCCAACTGTCTGGTTTTGACAAAGTTTGGCAGTTTGGGTTTCTGGCTGTTAAGTGTCTGGGTTATATCTACCACTGTCCAGCACGCCTGCCTCCCAACGTCTGCACTATGCCTTGCACAAAAGCAAGATACTCCACTGGCAGACTCTGAATACCTCAAAACTAGTGTGTAAGTTACTGAAGGGACACGATTCTGCCATGGAGCTGGCAGGAACCTGACCTTCTCACGGCCACATGGACTTGTGGCTTGGCTTTAAACAGATCTGAGCAGTGTGAGCTGCTTCTGAATTGCCATCTTTGGGGAATGGCACTCCATCTCCCTTCTCCTGCCTCCCATACTGCTTACCATGCTTGAGCAAAATGCATCCCTTAAGGCTCTTAAGTTCTTTCCTGATTGTTGTAAGGGAAATGGATTTTGGAGGAAGGTTTATTGCTCAGTTTATTGAAGCTTACCAAACTGCAGAGTGCTAACATTTTAAGTGTCTCAAAACCAATTATAAATGGGAGTTTAGTATCAGCCTGTGAGGTTTTCTACACAGTTTTGGCTGGAACTGTTTGAAAATTCTCCAAAGTTTGATGTCTTATTGGCATTGAAATTTGTGGAGGCAGGTTTGCAAAGACAGTTCGATTTGGACTAAGTTATGGTGGATCCCAGGCAAAGTATCCATCAGGAACCTACATTATTAGTGAGCCGGGGCTTCCAGGCACGAGCCAGGGCTTCCAGGCACTTGGGCAGCCTTCCAGATGGACTGACGTGACACCAAGAGCCCATGAGCCCCAGCCCCCCAGCTGTCCTGGTTGGTTGGCAAAGAAGTCTGGCATCACTGTTTTCCAGCGTCCTAGGTATGTGATCTTTGGGTGTTGGAGAATTCAGTTCTGACCATCGTCTGTGCTGAGGCAAAGAACCTTCCAAGCTTCCGGGGTTTTCTGCTATGTGAAAAATTTTTAGGCAGATTGCTTGAGAACTGGAGCTCAATTTTGTCACAGAGCTGTTGATATTTTAAATTTTTGTTCCAGATTGGAACAAAATCAAATTCTGGATTCTGCCATTTCTGTCCGAAACAGCGCATTTGTCTCTGTGTGGTCCTAGTTGTGATAACGAATGATAAACTTCTATGAATTTTATTCAAACATCTGCATCTGTGTACCTGTGATTTTCTTATACTCATTAAGAGCAGTATCTTTGGCACTGCATGTAAAAAAGCTATTAACTGTAAATATGTATATATTTTTTTTAATGACCTGGAAGTCTTTAAAGAAATGCCATTTTATTTGGAGGTGAGCTATTCAAGTATTACATGAGAGGATGGGTTTAAGAGGAAAGGAGCTGGTTCTATGAAAGTGAACCTTTATTGTGAAGCTAAAGAACAATAGTGAAGGAGAAGCCCTTTCAAAAACTAAATTGCATGTAATATCTTCTTTATTTCGTTTCAGTAAGAATCTCTTTGCCTCTATCATTACATTTCTGAAGTCCAAAATCACTGCCTTTCATTCCTCTTTTATTCAGGATGCTTTCTGGAACTGTGTATTCATTCTGTTTTTCTGTTGTAACAAAATTAATGGGGTTTAGTTATCACCTGGTTATACCCTGAAGTATATTGTTTTTACTCTTAAAAATACACAAATTGAGGGTAATTTATTTCTTCATGAGCTTTGTTTTCCTACAGTGCCCAATGATCCACTTGTGCCGACAGCTGTGTTAGGTGAGGACCCTAGTCCTTCATTATCCATTCCTGCATGAGTTTTGTCTCCTTGCATGGTTGAACGTTGGAACAGCTTGTTTTATATAAAAGATAGCTATGCTGTTGTCAGAAAATAACTCTGCACTCAGTTTATCAATTCAGAATTAAACTGACACTGCTTGGAAAATAAAAATTATTTTATGTTCTCATTAAGAAGTTATTCCTAGTCAGTGCCAACTGAAGAGTAAATGAGGAAATAGGTAAATGGGAAATACTAAAACTTTTCTCCCCAGAGCATTCAAACTGAGTTCCAATGAACTGACGTGTGAAACTAGAACTCTCTTAAGAGATACATAAAAATAAAATTCAGATCCATATTAGTATTATTTGGGACCTGAAGCTCAATTTTCTAACTGAGTAATAGTTACTACTAACTGGGTGTTACTACTAACTGGGTGTTACTACTGAGTATTATTACTGCTCACTCCTAGTTTTTCCTAACTAGATGAATCCAGACTACATCCTCATTGCTGTGAATTGAGCCATTTCCTTTTGACAGACTCACAGAAAATACGCAGAACTGACACACTCCTGTCCTTTTAAAACAGTCTTTTACCCATTGAAAGGCTCACGTGTCCTCAATTGTCTCTCTTCTAGTTGAGTTAAACCCAGTTCTTTCACTTGTTGTCTTGTAGCTGATGTTTTCTAAACCTGTTATCGTTCTTTTCCTCTGAACACTTTCCAACTCATAGGTCGAATTTTTAAATTGTGGTGCCCCAAATCAGGTACAGTTCTTAGAGGAATATCTATGCAGTATCTATCACTGCATAGATACTATCTGGTGATACTTGTCAAGCTATTCCTAATAGCTCATTTAGGCTATAAGCATATTCTAAAGGTCAGTGTGTTGCCACTACATTATGGCAATGCTGAGCTGAGTGGAATAGGTACTCCATGCCCTACTTGTAGTGTTCCTGCTACCTGAACTGTATTTTATCCTTTTTATTGCACTTGTGTTGCTGACTTGTATTGAGTTACCTGCTAAAATCCCAGTTATCATTGCCCGGTCCATTAATGCATTTTGTAGTTACATATTTGACTTCCCTTTCCTACACACAGTATGTTGCATTCACTGTTTAATTCACTTTGTTGATTTTTGCACTGTTTCCCAAATAATCAAGATAACTTTGAAATCTGATGCTGTACTTGTGAAGTGCTTGTGGTGCCTTACTGCTCAGTGCCCTCTGCCCATACTGTCAGGGTATTTTCTATCCCATTATGCAAGTTGTGGGTAAAAACGCTGATAGAGAATATACCCAGGAGGAGCCTTTGCAGATCTTCATGTAAAGCGTCCTCTGAGACTGACAGCAAATCACTATTTGTGAGTAGTCTTTGGTCTTTGTCAAGCTGGTGTATACTCGCCATGTGGGAGACTTATCAAGTCATTGATGCCCATTTCCTTTTGATAATGTTGCAAATGCCATTCTCTTGACTACAGTAGTGTCTTAGAAAGTTTATAACCATCAGAGCAGTTAGATGCTGGAGCCTTCCACTTTGGGCCCAAGGAAACCTAACCAGGTGGTTTAAGAAGTTTATGAGGGGTGGTGAAATAGCACCGTTGCCTGAAAGAGCAAAGGGGTAGACTCAGTAATTCTGAATACTTCCCAAAATTAGATCAATGGACTTACAGAAAATGAGTCTTTTCCTGAAATTCTTCTAAGATCTTCTCGTGTCTTTTAGCTTTATTTCAGGCACTTACAAGCTGCATAGATACTATCTGGTGATACTTGTCAAGCTATTCCTAATAGCTCATTTAGGCTATAAGCATATTCTAAAGGTCAATGTGTTGCCACTACATTATGGCAGACACAGACACGGGCAGCTGTGAACAGCGAGGACAAGGGATTAATTGAAGAACAGTTTAATAGTTCCTGTCTGCATTTCCATTTACCAGTAATGGTGTTTTGGGCATGATATTCTCCTGGTATAAGCAAAGCAATGCTAGTTGGAAGAGGTAATATTTTTCATTGCATGGACAGAAGTAGCAGAGAGAAGTAGGCAAGCTTTTGGGCACACCATGTAGAAGGGGTTGGGTAACCGTAAGCTTCTTCCTTTGGAACTAGATCATTTGGCCTACTCCATCTCAATGTAGCCCTTGCTTGGCCCAGCATCACAAAACAGTTTTCCTCTGTTTTACTTAGAGATGAGCAAAATTTTATGGGCTCTAAATTATAGAACATGTTATTTTATATGAAGCTCTTATTACTTTATAGCTGTTCTAGGTTTCTTTTTCTTCATGTATAGGTTATTAATGCTACTTTCCATTCTGTGTACATTAGCGCTAAGTTAGTATGACAATTTTGCTTTTCTCAAGTCCCTATCATTACATTGATGGCATAATAATGTGGCCCTTATATTTTTAAAACGGCTTTCATTGTTACCTATTGTGAAGCTTTAACAACTTTTAATGTCATTTGCTTTTAGTCATTTTCTAATATAGTCCTGAAATAAATTTCTTATGTTCTGTTCACTCATTTTTTGCTGCTTCAATGGGTTAAAGTGCCTATTACTGGTAAGTATACTGCGAGGAATGGGGAGAACTGCAAATCCTGAGGTGGTTTGAAATGTGTATGATTTAATACGGTTAACACTACAATAAAAAGTGACTGCTGCATGTCACTCACATTATTAGGCAGTTTAGTGAGGCATAAATATACTGAAATTAGCAACTTATGTGACAGTTCAAAGCATCGGGTTTCTTGCTAGGAGATCTCATTTCAGAAGGCATTAACGGGGTTTGCATTTTGGTGGAATTGTAGAAAACCCAACCCTTCGGGTGTTCATTTTTTTCCTAGAGTGTTTTACTTCCTAATCTGGATCCTTTGCAAGGAAAACGGTAAACTGATTTCGAAGACGTGTAGGAGGGGTTGGCTACCCACTTCTCATTTCAGTAGCTACTTTCCAAAAAAGGTTTCTAGAATTTTTCTTCCTCTCTAAATTCATTTGAACTGCTGATTGCTAATTAGAAAAAAAGATATTTCACAGAAGGGATTGACTAAATGTGATCACTTCATGCAGCTTTGACATTTGGTTTTGATAAGAGAATTGGTGTAACATAGGGCATTAGAGGAGACTTCTTTGTTTATACAGAGCAAAAACCGCGGCTGAAATCAGCACACTCAACAGTTTCATTTCTCTACTAAAAGACCTGAGTTAAAATGACCACTCTGAAGTGCTGATTCATCTTCCCAAATGGAGGTAGTGTTCTGAAGCGGTAGCATAATTGCTTCTCTTTTTTACTTGGATCTCAATTTACTGTTTGTTGGCTTTAGACAAATGATGTGCTGATACCACTATGGAGTTATTCTAATTTATTGTTTAAGGTGTAGTATTGCTGTTGATACATATTAGCCATTTAAAAAGTTACTTTGGGTGATAGAGGCTGGAGTTTCCAAGTACATTAATGTCATAAAGTTTTGTAGCTTCAAATAAAATGCCCTTCAGACATCTTTATTGCGGGATGAAGGATTGCAAATTTTTGTATGTGTTTGCAGTTAAATTCCTTTATGTACTTCACAGTATTTATGTGCTGGAGAGCAAGTGCTTTGCATTCTCAGAAATTAGACATGTGTTTGAAGGAAGAGGTTGAAAATATATATTCATATGTATAGCAGCAGGTGTAATTGCCCCGCAGGTACCTAATGCATTGGTTTCTTGTGAATACAGATGAAAATCACAGTGCGACAGCAGAGTCCAGCCGGCTCCTGGATGTCCCTCGTTACCTCTGCGAAGGCACAGAATCCCCGTACCAGACCGGGCAGCTGCACCCTGCCATCAGGGTGGCTGATCTGCTGCAGCATATTAACCTAATGAAGACCTCTGACAGCTATGGATTTAAAGAGGAGTATGAGGTGAGATCTTCAGTGGTGGGTTTTTGCTAGGAAAAATCCCTTTGAAAGGGGCCGCCTTTTGTTTGCATTGCATTGCAAAAGGATGCAACTAAATGTCATGGTTTTAAGTGAAAAACAGATAAAGATAAGCAGGCATAAGACTCCTATATGTGTAACCCGGAAGTGGAATTGTGAGTGGAGTCCAATGGTTTGAGCCATTACAAGTGCCTGGAAAGAACACTGTCTGTATCCTCTAGGACATAAGAAGACATGCCCTGCTGAATCTTTCTGGCATATTGTAAGAAGCTGCCACCCTTTCGTCGCTGCTTCTTAGTTGAAATGCTGTAATTAATTGTGTGAGTTTTCCGAGCCATCTTCAGTGCAGATCTCCTGGATTAGGTTAAAGTGAAGGCTTAACCTGGCTGGTTTTGCGAGAAGCACTGACTGAAAGCACTCTCATGATTTATTATAGCATCTCAGTAGGGCAGTACTGGGACTAAACTCCAGCTGAGAAGCAGTAAAGACGTGCCGAGGGTAGTAGCTTCTTGAAGTTCTAATTAGACCTGCCTGAGCATGTCTACTTACAACTTTAATGTTAAAATGGAAGCAAAAAATTCCCAGCACTGGAGGTAGAAGATGAGTACAGATTCATTTCGCTTCTGATCTCTGAATCCGTTGTGATTCTTTGGGATTAGAATATCAGGCAGGACGTTCAGTAAAGATGGGAATGGTACTGCCAAGGTCGCATGCAATATAGCTAGGTTTAAAATGAGTTTTCGCTGAGTAAGTAATCTCTTCTGACTCAGTTTTCAACCTTCTCTTCTTTCTGCAGCTGTCTCTACTGTAACATAAGAATTGGAATAAATAAATGTGTGGTTTTTAAAAGAATATTATTCTCTTTTCCTCTCTTTTACTTAAATACGCCTCGTTATGCTCTGCCTAACTTCAGGGCTAAACCCAAGTGTCAACTGCTGCTGCGGGGAGGGTGGTCCCTGATGCCACATCAGGTGTTCTACTTGTTGCTACTTCTATTACCATACATGACATCTTTGCCCTGGCTTGGGCTTCTGAGTGTGCATTAAAGTTTTGTTTCTGTGGCTACTGTGTACTTTCTGGAGGTAACTTACCCAGGTCAGGATAAGAGAACATCTGGAAAGAAAGAATAGCATGACCTGCAACAGCTGTAAAATATCTGCGGGCAATGAAGAAACAGCCGAGGAGGAATAAAAGCTGCTTCTATCACTACTGAGAGATCAGACTCTTAAGAGTTCAAAAATGTAGAATAATTTTGCTAGTGGCTAGAGGGAGGTATATGAGGAAAACCAACATGAACAATAAACATTGGCAGAGGAGGCTTCCTGATGGCTCCGTAAGAAGAAAAGCCATTTTACTAAGCAATGTGAGGAAAGCAATGTAATTCTATAGTAAACAGGCTATATATTATGGTGTCTTGTAAGAAGGTGATCGGCCTCCCTGTGCTTTCTCAGCTTACTCTTGTTCCTCCATAGCAAGGATGTCTGAGCAAGTTTAGCCTTCCAGCAATTCCAGGACTTGAAATCCCTCTGGAGTCCTTCAGTGACTTGCCCATTGACCCATAGCAGTCAGAGGGAGAGAGCCTCCCTTCTTCTCTAGATGTATTTCTATACCGTGGTGCTGTCTGGGTGACCAGAGCGGATGAGCAAAGCTGAGCTTACTTTATGGTAGGGCAGTTCTTTTAAAGTGTTACTTTTGGAGATAAATTAATGGTCAGAATGTTTTCTTTCGGAACGTTTTTATTTATAGAGTTTCTTTGAGGGGCAGTCAGCTTCTTGGGATGTCGCTAAGAAGGATCAAAACAGAACAAAGAACCGCTATGGAAACATTATTGCATGTGAGTATCAGTGTGCTTGGTTTGAGCGGTAGCCGTAGTCGTGTGTTACTCGTGCCATGTTCTCTCTTTCTTTACAAGTCTCCAGTGGCATAGCTGCTTAATACCCCAGGCGGAGGAAGAGGACAGTGCCCTTTCCAGCATTTTTTTTTGTTTGTCACAGTTCAACTTTCTTCCTTTTATAACTCAGGCTGAATTTCGCATTTGCATCTCTGTTGTGCAAGCTGTGGTAAGCATATAACAGCGACAAGCTAGCACTCATTTGAATGTAAATTCTGTGGTGGTTTTCTACAGTTATAATTTATTTCAGCTAAATCTGACAGCTTCAAAACTTTTCTGCTTTATGTGATTTATAGCTGATACACCTGAATAGCAGTTGTGTAAAACTGATGATTAAAAGACGTGACTAAAATCAGAGGGTTCTGTCTCTTGTCTTTAGGCATAAAGTTTCAATAGTTTAGATTCATCCCCTGGGATAACACAATTTGTTACTGTTTTACACATGCGATCGAACACGCAGGAATGAAGCTATCGGAGAAGTCCCCGAACGGGTAGAGTTACCTCTTCCTCAAATCCAAAGTGCATTGCTAACCATTGCTAACTTACTTTTTGAATGTCTCGGTATGAACTTAAGCAGGCTGGGGTCAGAATTAAGGAAACCGTAATCGGGAGTTTTGGTTTTCTAGATTGCCATCAGTGGAGCTGATTTTGAAAGGGACTTTGAGCAAGTAACCTGGTTTCTTTGTGTCTGTAATGGTGTGATACCTTTCAGCTACACTTAATGAAGTTTAGTGAATGTTTTTGAAGTAATTGGAGACCTCAGACAAAATGGCTCGTTGTAATTCTATGTAAACACTTACTATTTAAGGGTTGTAAATTGTGAGGCACTTATGCCAGCTGATTTTGGTTTTCTAGATGACTTACCGTAATATCTTACTTAAAAATCACACTTCAAAAAGGCACCATAACTACTTGGTTTTTACAGATGACCACTCCAGGGTGATTTTGCAACCTGTTGAAGATGATCCATCTTCAGATTACATTAATGCCAACTACATAGATGTGAGTGGATTGCACAGCTTTCTTCCTCTCAATTTGCCAGCTTCTCTGTGTGAAACTATTGCATGTTATGCCTACAAATTTATTGAAAGCTTTCTTTTATTAAGAACAAAATGTACACTTTCCTTGTTCTACGTCCTAGTACTCACTGACATTGTTGTGCTTTCTTTCACATCTGACTTTGGTTTGGGCTGTAGATTTGGCTGTACAGGGATGTAAGTACCACTATATGTGAATAACGGCATCCTATTGTAAATATTTAATATATTGTTATTAATTACTTTCCTATTCTATTTTTATCACTAGATAACTATGCATGCCTCATCTAATTTGTCTCATGTGTTCCTTTAAAAAATTTCCTTTTGTGTGAATATTTTTTGTACCTGTTTTGAAAAGATAATTTAGCCTTTTAACATAGTTCTGAATATTGTTACGTATTGTTAGATAACTCAGGTGAACCTGTCTGTTAAAGACAATTTACTGTTCACTTTTTTTTTATGATGATGATTTTGGCCACTAGCTTTTCTTTTCCTCTTCCCATTTATATGTGAGAAGCCGGATAGTATACTGTACTGTAGTTGTCTGAAAACGTACCTGTGAAGTAGTTGTAATATATGTTTGGCAAAAAGGGAGGGATGGTGGCCTTGGGGGGAGGGGGTGTGTTTTTAACAACAACTTAGACAAACAATATTTAGCTGACATTTGTCTTAAGGTGCTAATTTAGGTATTATAAAGTATATACACAAACATATATGTAAAAAAATATTTTAACGTAGTAGAAATTTTCTCGCTTCTGCAGAAAACTTCTAAAGTTTGAAATTCCATGCTTTGATTAAAATACAAATTAAATCATAAATTAAAAAAAAACAACTGATACAAACAGGAAATTTGAACAAATTCTGCCAGGTGTTTTGGTTAACAAAATATAACTTTTATCCAATTAACACCTTAGGAATAAGCAAGTTGTATTCAAAGTAATTCAAAAGATACTGGAATAGCTAGTACAAGTGTTTTTAACATAAATGGCTTTGGTTACTTTTCTTTTTAATTGTACCTCACTAATTTTTCCTGTCCACTGTTAGTTGACAAATTATTTAAGACCCTCTCAACTTTCCAGGATATAAAGATTTAGCTCCAGGTATATTGCTGTCTTTTTATTTTGATATTTTTACACAGCAATCCCTGTGAAGTGTTAGGCCTATGATATTTTGCCTGGGGCCTTAAACAAGAAAACTCTCCAGATTTGTAATAATTCCAGTTGCTTGAGATTGTTGTTTCTCTTATTTAGGAGTAAATTAAATCTCATTATAACCAGACAGGAAAGCTACAAGTTAAAACTGGCACTTTGCAATTTTAAAGTGACACTTTTAACCTTCTTTTGGAAAGCATTACTGAGTGTTAAACAGTGTAGCATAGGTTCCACTTTCATAATTTGAAACTGGGGCTTGATATTAAGGACTCCAGGAGAGATTTTTTTAGTCATTTGATGCAATCTTGGTCCCTTGCAAAGCCAAGCGTAAGATACTCAGAAGTTTTTTCATAAGCCCCAGAGGAAGGTGCTCTCATTCTAGACAGGATAATGAAGCAGTCTGTGGAAAAGGATATAAACTCCTCGGGTACCTTGAAATCCTTCACTTCAGTAGCATCTTGTGAATGCCAGGAATCCAAGGACTCGTGCTCCCCTGTAATGCAATACTTGAATCAAGTGGCCTAATAACACTGTAACCTAGAAAATAATTGGAGTTATTTCTTTAACATTTGCACATTGTGAAATACTGTATTGTCTTCTCCAGCAATGCTAAAGTTTCCTTCCTCTTTGTAGCCAATGTTGCTGGCACTGGCCAAAATATATTCTGAATTACTTCCTCAAGAGCAGAATCTCTTTGTCCTGTAGTTTTTATGCAGACGATTAATGCTGTACAGTACCACTAGCATT